CTCTCTCTCTCTCTCTCTTTGCCCAGGCAGAACAAAAACAACTCAGGCGTCTCTCAGCTGTTGTTGTACTCTCGACGCCGTTATTCGCAGTGACAGCAGATTACAACGATGTGCACCGGCGGCCCAGCTCGGCTGCTCGTCCCCCGTCCCCGCTCCGGTACCGGCTGACTGTCCACGGGACCCTCGGGACCTGTCGGTGGTTAAAGCCGCGGATAGACACAGTTTCGCTGGGACTCGTCTCTCTGGCTACACAGCCATCTTTGTTTTTTTTCCTGTCCGTCTCCCCCGACTTCACCCTGCACAGCCTTTACGACTCCGGGTCAGATTGGTTATTGCTCCGGCAGGTTCTCGATGGTGGCTAATAATAGAAGTTCCGTGTTTAAAAGTAAATATTTTGCGTGTATCTGTAACGGCCTCTGTGAGCCACTAACTACTTCAGTGCAGCCGTGAATTGGCTGACAGCGGAATGTTTTATTGTGGCAGATGACTTGGGGTATTTAAAGAGTTTTTAAAGGCGCATGCGTAGTGAGCACCTGCGGGTCAGTGTATGGCAGGACTTGAAAGGTGACCAAAACATGATATGCGACAAATTTAGGCCACGCCAACAGAGGACGCGTCCTTTATACGTCTGCAATGTTTATGAACCACACCCACATTTTATAACATGTTAATAACGCCGCCGTCAATCTGTGGCATGGAGAACTTTGAACAAAACTTTATGACAAAAACACCCTGTTTTCTGCTGCTGTGGCAGTGAAGTGGTTCAACTGGTTGAAAGTGTTTGTGTGTGTGTTAAGGATGCATACATAATTGAGCAAGAAAAACAGGGTGATCAAAGAAAGCTTAACTGCCCTTGGCCACTGATACAGGTCAGAAGCATTTATAAGCTTATTCATCCCTTCAGTGCCCCAGATATGTGGCTTAGCAGCCGCAAGGGCTGGGAGGGGTAAGTGTGTATACAGGGTGGTGGTGGAGGGGGTATGTGTGTGAGTACTTTAGGGTAGGTGGGGCAGGATGTCAGAGTGTCAGCTGTCTGCAATCAGGGGGGGACAGGACTTACCACTCCCACTGGACAGACAGATATGCCTTATTTGGTCTGTGTGGAATGACAAGGGAGCCATACCACCCTCGGCTATACACACAGTGCTCTAAATGCAGGGCAATTCCCATTATAAGCCCCTGGATACATTCATTTGTCAAAATATTCCCACGGATTGCCTATTGACTGGTTTATTCACCATCCCAGTACAATATACATACAATAAACACAGTGAAGATGGCAATTAAGGAGTTTAGTAAATATGGCAAGCTTTTACTAGCACTGAAATTAGACGTTGCTACAGATGTTTTTAGTTTATGAATGTGTAGTAAACAAATAAAAGCTTTTCTAGATACATGATCCTAGCACAGACTTCTAGGAAGGGACTTCAAAACCAGATGGGTCAGTGTCGTCATACAAGAAATCAAGAATAGCTGCCAGAACGAGAGACGCAATAACACATCGTATCCTCGAAGCTAAACATGGTTTGTAGAAAAACAACCAAAACAAATACACATCAGAAATGTCCTAAAAAGTACTTTCACAAATACACCACAACATTAGAAACAATGATAAACTCTAAATAGTTTTAAATCCAAACTGAGTCCTACTTGATTAACTCTATTTGATTAATTATGTCAACATAGCGTTCACAGTGCTTCACTACTTCCTCCTCTCGTAATCCTAGATGGACACATACCTTGGCCATTACACAACATCTCATGATGCGTTTATAATTGCATTGATTACAAACATTTATGGGATTTATCAGGCGTCATCAATCAGTTCTATTCAGTCCCAAGAGAGTAAATCACATCATCTGCAGGTCATTCAAGGTTTCAGCTGCTGAGAAATCAGTGGTATTGTCCGGAACCATGAAAGCGATGAGCCTGATCTAATCACGCAGATAAACAGGCGGACTGACAGTGAGGTCAAGATTGTGTGGGTGGGTGCGTGAGGGTGGTGGAGGGCGGCTCGTCGTAGTTTTTAGATGGGTGGATTTCGGCGGTGGCTGTGACGGGGTTGTACAGGGGAGAGGTGAAGTTCTGGACTGAAGAGGCTGCTGCTGGGTTGGAGGATGGCTGGTGTTGGGTTGAGTGACCCAGATTGGTTGATTGTGGTGAATATGGAGGTGACTGCTGTTGGCTGTTTGGTTTTGAGTGTGTCTTAATCTGGGATGGAAGCTCAGTTTGGGCACCGAGCTGATTGATTTCAACACTCGGGCTGTCTGGGCTGCCAGGATCGCAGTCTGTGTTTGACAGCTTTGGATCTCGATCCTGTATTTCTCGCCTGCTGGGTGAGCCAGAGTCTGTAGAGGAGCATTCTGGTCTCTGTAGACCAGGCGTGGCCTCTGAAGGTGTGTGCACTTTGAACTGTGGAGATATGGTGTGAACTGTCTCTTTTGCTTGTTGCTGTAGTGGTTTGTCCTCATCTTGTCTTCTTTCTGTGTTTATCTCAGTTTGTCTGTCATTATGTCTGCTGAGCTCTTTCTGCGTGATTTCTCCCTCACTGCTGGTGTGTCCTGGTGTTTTGTCTGTACATGTTTCTGCTGCATTGGTCTTAAGTAGTCTCTGGACTCTGTCTGGTTCTGCTCCAGTGTCTGCTGTGCTCTTCTGAGCTTTGTCTGTGAGCGCCCTCTGTCTGCAAATTGAAGCCATAGCCTTCACCCAGGGATGCAGCAAGGTCTGCTCTGCTGTCAGTCTCACTGTTGGATCAGGCTGTAGCAGAGCTCGGACAAGGCCTTTGGCTTCTGCAAACACACAACACAATAAGAAACAGATTTGTGTTTGTATGTACTGGGATTTGTTGCAGCACACTTTATTTTTCTGTACCGCTCACCTTCTGAGATGGGGTCCCAGTAGGGGGACAGGAAGTGGATTTGTCCCTGTTTTATTAGCTGGAATAGCTCTTCCTGGTCCCGATCCCGACTTCGAAATGGAGGGAATCCACACAGCAGGATGTAGAGAATAACACCCAGAGCCCATACATCCACAGCGACACCATAACCTGTTGGGAAAGAGTTTAAGGACTTAGGTTTAAAAATATAAAACATCCACATTTAGGAGTGTTAATAAATGTTTTAAAGTAAAAAGGAATGTAAAGCTGTGATTTATACTGTAGCAAACAATACTAACCTGTCTCACAGAGAATCTCTGGGGCTACATACGTGGGTGTGCCACATATGGTGAAGACTGGTTCAGTCACAACCATGGCAAGACCAAAGTCTCCCAGTTTCAGCCTACAGATGCCAGCAGCTACACGCTCTATCTGAGAGAGAACAAGAAAATCAAGATACAGACAGAAACAGAGTCATGCACAGAGGCAGCGTTGTTATATATATATTATTATATTATTATATATTTAAAATTCAAATACCTCCAAGGCACACACATAGAAACTTGTGTTACTGACCCTGCATTCATACTGATATTGATAGTTTATATAAATATCAATATATATTATATTATATATCAATGTTTTTTTATTATTTATATTTTATTGCCTTTAATTGATTGTGATAGCTGTTGAGTGACAGTAAGGGGATGACACAAAGCAAAGAGCCACAGTATAAATAATGTGTGTGATATGTAAGACCAGACAAAGTATTAAAATGTGTTTATACAGAAGATGAATAAAAGTAGCCTGACTGTTGTTCCCCTTGAATTACACTTTGGGAACAATAAAGAATTTAATGTGATTATTTGATTATGAATAGTTGTTCTTTAAAATCCATTTTATGTGTAGGATATGATTAGGCAAAGAAAAACATTTGTGATGAATCAGTTTGCTTTCTCAATATTAAAGTAAAAACCTTGAAGGTCTCTGTTTCCTTCTCTTTGGCTCCACCTGATAAGCAGTAATTGCAGGAGGGTTTTAGCCCCCAAAAAAGATTATAATTAAATAATTAAAGATAATCACACATAGTTCTCAGAATCACACACACAACACTGACCAGCAGGTTTTCTGGTTTGAGGTCTCGGTGGACGATACTTTTGCAGTGGATGTAATTCAGTGCTTCAGTCACATCCGACACCATCAGTCCCGCCTCTGCCTCTGAAAACGTCCCCCTCTCACTGATGGCCTCAAACAGATCCCCCCCGCTCACCAGCTCCATCACCAGGTAGGAGTGAGTGTGTGTGTGGTGGTGCGCAACCAGCCGCACTATGCGAGGGTGACTGAGGCTACCCAGAAGGCTCAGCTCGTTCTGCATCATGTGCTCTCGACCAATCAGCTTGGAGAGCTCGACGATCTTCACAGCGAGGGTTTGTCCGTTGTCACGACGGCGGCACTCCCGCACTACTGCAAAGTTGCCGTCTCCAACCAAACGTCCAATTTCATAGCAGCGCTCGATATCTGCCAGGGTGACATCACTGCCCTCTGAGGGAAGGTCAAAGGTCATCCTCTGTTCTACGTCCCTGTGTACTTGACCCACATCTGGAAGTGGATTTGAAAGTTGTAACTGGGCAGCGCTCTTCTCCTCCTCTCTGCTGACTGGCCGAGGAGGTGGAGGGCTGATATGAACGTACAATTTTCTCACTTCCTGTTCCGTACAAGAACTTCCTTTTTGCTTCCTAGACACAGGAGGAAGTGGGACCTTCCCTGACAGCGGATTGAGCCGCTCTGGACCCTTATGTTTGACCCTCTTTGCTAAGCAGTTTTCACACAGTGTAGGAGAGGGAACGTCTGTTTCTCTAAGACCTTCCTCGTGTTTAAATGGACCAATGACAGAAGGCTGCCGCTCTCTGACCCCGCCCCTCACGTGCAGTCTCTGCAGGTGGTTGGGCAGGTGAGCAGGTTTTCGGCATGAATTCTTTTTATGACACTTCTGAACATCTGCTTTATAATGTTCTGTGTCGATGTGGTGAGGCGGCTGGGTAACTGTGTGTGTGTTGGTATGATTTTTGACATGTGTGTTTGCGTCCTGGTGTGTCTCTTGGTTAGTGTGTGTCTCGCTGCTGTCTGTCCCCTCACTGTATCCACTGTCGGCCTTAGCTGCTTTATCTGGCGCTGGACGGAGTCTTTTCTCCCAGGCCCGCAGTGCTTCTGCCCGGTAATGGGAATGTTCTGGAAACAGCTCCTCCAGAGCCTCCTGCACACTGCTCAGCTCTGGGCGAGACTTCCCCAGCGCCAGGAAGGCCACCTCACCTCGGAAGAAATCACATACACCTTTCACCTATGAACAAAAAAGAGGGAAAAAAATGAGAATTTAAGACTAGATCTGGTCCACAAGACAATTTCAAAAAAGCTTCTGACATGTTTATAAATTGATATATTCAGCACAAAAATTAACTTTTTGATTTTACACTAATCTCCTATTACTTAATGTTCAAGCAACGCAGCAACCTTGAAGTGTAGAGACTGCAAAATGAAATGTCTCTTTCTATGTATTCTAAAAAAAAAGTTTCCCTGGAGCACACAGACTTTCAACAATTTATTCTTTTTTAATGTAACAGAGAGGTGGAGAAAGCTATTGTTCTCCAGGAATACAATACATTCGTCTTCTAAACACGCAACAACCTGGCCAGTGGACCTCATTTGTTTTTGAGAACTGTTATTCAAGAGCTCAGCTGCATCGTTGAATCCAAGTTGGGAAATTTTTATTTCTAAATCACTGTGATAGTTTCCACATATCCCTTTATTTCAGCTTCCTGTGCTGTCCTTTTACTTTATGTGCCTTACTCAATAGATAGGCGTCGACTGTAGATCAGTCAATTAGGTGTGTTAAGCCCAAAACTGGATAAGCAAAGTTGGGCCCAAAAATTTGAGGATCGGACATGAAAAGGGCTTCAAGGTGTGTCCTGTATTATTACCTAATAATGGCCATGTCATGAAAAGTGTCACTGTGTCAAAATATGTCAAAGATTTTGGTTTTGTGCTTACATGTTTCATATTCTTTGTTCCTTGCCTCCTTTGCATTACGGCCTCTGCACGTTGCAGAGAATGTGTGTTGAACGTGGGAGAAATAAATCAGGGGCCCTTCTGGGCATTTTTGCCTCAGGTGTCCCCCGCAGGTTAACACGGTTGAGCCTCACCTCTCGTGCGTGGGTCGTGTACAGACGTGTGACTCTGGCTCGGTGCCAGCGAGGAAACCCCAACGCCTCTGAGATATCCAATAGCAGTTGTTCGAAGGACACCACACCCCTACGGTTCAACAGGACTGTTACCTTGAAATCAGAGAGACAGCAGTGGCAGTTAAGTTATGTAACTCTTTCCCATCTCTTTCTTTACTCTCACAGCTACTGATAATTGGGAAGAACTCCTCATAAAAGTCACATCTGTTAGAAGCTATTAATGACATCTTGGTTGCCAGGTTGTAAAAAGTCCTTTTGTCTGGTTTATCGTCCTTTGTCTTTTTAGCGCCTTAGTTCATCAGGGAAACCTCTCAAACCACCAAACTGCAAAACACCTCCACTGAAATCCTTTTATTTACAGCTTAGCATGAATAACTTACAGGCCTGATGGTTTATTAGAAAGTGAAACCCCCACGTGGACTTATGAAGGTGTAACAAACATTTATAACTGCATTATCTACCAAATAGAAAGGATGAACACATGAAAAGGGATTCTTGTACAATCTTTCAACCCAAACGTTGTTCTTTAGTAACTTAGTAACACTGAGTAAAGATGTATTAACCACTGATAAAGTCATTAGTGACGGCCTATAAAACCTTCATAAGTGGTGCCTTATTTTAGAGTTCACCTTGCGTAGTGCGCTTTGACCACAGGGACGGACGACGGTGACCAGACGAGGCCTCTCTGCGCTCTCCTCTGCGTGGCGAGTGCGGAAGAGAGGGAGGTGAGGAGGAGGAGGAGGAAGAGGAGGAGGAGGAGGAGGAGGAGGGAACTGGGACCTGTGGAGCTGCCCTTGAGGGTGGGAGTGAATGGGCCATGGCTGAGGTGCCCCACCAGCACGCTTCAACAAGGGGGCCGGAGGAGCTGAGGCAGGGAGAGAGGAGAACGAGGGAGAGAGGAGAACGAGGGAGAGAGGAGAACGAGGGAGAGAGGAGAACATAGACAGAAAGCGAGAGTTGGATTATTGGAAGTGACACTGACGTCATCACCCCGTTATTTTCTTCTAGACTTGTATTCAAAGAAGAACTCATAAGTAACACAACACTATAGTTCCTCGTCCTGTGTGTGTGAAAACAAATCCGGCTGATCAGATTTGAGTGTTTTCCATCACATGGAGTGCAAGGGCCATTTGAGATTGTTCAAGCACCTTGCCCCACCGGCTGAATTATTCAGGCTTCCTTAAGTCATGCAAACCCACACACAACTTAACAAAAGCTTGCTTGACCTGGTTGGGGCTCAACTGAATCTGCATGATTGATGAAGCATTAGAGACACACACCGCATCTTTGACGTTTCACTTTCTGGCACCGAGGGAGACACAGAGACGCTATCTGTCTGGTCAGCAGGGGGTTGTTTTTTTTTGTTTTGGTTCCAGATGCAGAACAACAGACAGAAACACAAGACCCTAAACCTCTAACATGACCAGGGCCCGGGCCTGTTTTAACAAGACACCATTGGCAGGGCCCCCTGAGAGTGACCAACAAATAGTCTCTCACACACACACACACACACACACACACACACACACTCTCTCTCTCTCTCTCTCTCTCTCTCTCTCTCTCTCTCTCTCTCTCTCTCTCTCTCGATCAGTGATACAGAATAATGAGTGATACAGAGAGTACTTCAGCTGACACTGAACCACCAGTCAGAGTTTGTTTAATCTTGCAGGACAGTGAGGGTCAAATCAGTGACAATGAAAACAGTGGCAGTAGCACCCACCTTTCCCCCACTGAGACCAATATTGCATCTGGTGATGGAGGTCCTCCTCCACCAAAGACCAAGAGGACTTCTGCAGTATGGGACTATTTCACTGTTTCTGAAAATGATCCCTCCAAAGCAATTTGCAAGCTTTGCAAGTCC